CACAATTATTCCATCTAAATGCTTCACTTGTGAAATGTATAAATATATATCTCAAATATAAGGGGTGTGTCTTATTACTGGTTCATTCAAGAACATTTAGATGTTGGTTTTATTCACAGAACTATAGCACAACAAAAGTTATTGAAATGGAACGATTGAGAAAAAGCTTGTAAAGCATTACAAAGATTGTGCACGCCCCTAGCCCCTAGAGGAAGATATTGCACTTGTTTTGACCAAGTTTGACATTCAGAAGTTGAAATATTAGAATGCAACAAAACTATAACACAGCACATGATATTGAAATGTCAACGAATACATTAATCAATGTAAAGTAATATGCTCTTCTATCTTAACTTGAAAGGGTGTGTCTTGTTAGTGGTTCCTAAACAAACATGTAGATGTTGGTTTTATTCACAGAACTATAAGACAACACATGATATTAAAATGTGAACAAATACATCAATTAATTTCCTATAAATGCACTCTTCTATCTCAATTTCTAAGGGTGTGTCTTGATACTTGTTCCTAAAAGAATATTTCAATGTTGATATTATTCACATAACTATAAAACGAAAAAACGTATTGAAATGTAAAATTTGAGAAAAAGCTTATTAAGATGTGCAGTACAGCGCCCCCTAGAGGAACACACTGCAGCTGCTCGACTGAGTTTGATCTTCAGAAATGTGAATAAATAAATTAAAAATACACAAAGTCTGACATGTCAACGTTAAAGGGTGGTAATTGTTTCCTATAATGACATTTAGATGTTGGTCTTATTCACAAAAGTGTAACACAACAAAAGCTATTGAATTGTAAAAACTGAGAAAGAGCTCTGGAAGCTTCCCAAAGAGTGTGCAGTACACCGCCCCCTAGAGGAACACACTGCAGTTGCTTCGACTGAGTTTGATATTAAGAAATGTGAATAAATAAATAAAAAATACACAAAGTCTGACATGTAAACTTTAAAGGGTGTGTCTTGTTACTGGTTCATAGAACAACATTTACATGCTGGTCTCATGCACAGAACTATAACACAACGCACGATATTGAAATGGCAACAAATACATCTATTCATTTCTAATAAATACACTCTTCTGTCCCAATTCTAAGGGTTGTGTCGTGTTACTGGTTCATGGAACAGCATTTACATGCTGGGTTTATTCGCGAAACTACAACACAGCAAAAGCTTTTGAAATGTAAGGATTGAGCAAAAAGCTCAGTGGACTATATGTAAACATCTTTGATGCAAAATATCTTACTCAGGACAGTACTAAAAAAATTACATGCATTTTGTGTGATCTCTCTTACAAAACATTTTTTTAAACAAACATACACACAAAAAACATACAAACAAAATGGACCCTTTGAAAATTAGCTCGAAAATATAATTTTGAACTAATTGATGTATTGATTGATCAGCTTAATAAACAGTTTAATTGGCTATTCAGTTTCAATTGAATGTTTTCTCTCATATTTCTGTGACTAAAACCAACATTAAAACATTCTTCTAGAAACCAGTAACAAGGCACACCTTTTGAAGTTGAAATAGAAGACTGTATTGAGTTTAAATTAATTTATTAAAGGTTTGAATGTAAAACTCAGTCAAAACAACTGCAGTATCGTCCTCTAGGGGGCAGTAACACTGGAGACTCTATGGAAGGTTTCGCTAGTGAATTCTGAGTGTCAATAACGTGACTTCTGCATCTGTTTTGACAACGAAAACAACTGGAAAATGTTCTTTGAGAAGTCTGTAACAAGACAATCATCGATATACGATACTATCGTCTATCGGCACAACCCTAATATATTTATTAATAGTAATAATATAATAATAACCACTATCACATATTTTGTTTACAATATTTCTTATTTAAATTCAAGTGAGCGTTATACGTGTTTGTCTTTATATCTTTCAAAGAGCTTGGTGCACTAATTGCTCTTGTTTTGTTAATCGTAAAAAAAAACATTCCGGTGGGAAAACATTCATCGTTTTATCCTGTACATGTACTTTGCAGACGGTCCCTAGCTGGCCTAAGCGCTAGCTCGCCGCTGCTAGAGACTTTATGCGTTTCAACATATAGAGGACGATTAAAACACATAAACTGCGATGTGTGTTCAGTTCTACGTTCTAATGCTTTTCAGATAAGCCATTTTTTATACAATTATACTCATCCACAAAGAATTTATTGAAGTTTTTCGCGGCTGAATATCTGTCTAATATCCGACGTCAAACGGTCATAAATGAATATGCAGATGCAGTTCTTGATGAGTGTAATGACAGCTGATCATCTCTCTGTCAGTGTCGGTCTATGAATTCCGCATGAATACAGTGCGATCGCAGTAAATAGATGTGTTTTACCTCTGTGTCTCTGGGATTATTGAACTCATCTTCAGTCCGCTCGTTTCGTTTCTTTTCGTGTCCAGATCACAGACTGTATAAAAACAGGTCCAGATACAGTCAGTCACTTCCTGGCGTGCGGGCACGTGACGCGTGACGTCAGCTCGTAGACACGCCCACTGCGATGTTCACTGCGTTCAGACACGAGAACATGTGTTTATGTGATGAAATGCGAATGTGTAGTTAAATACGGCCAAAAAACAGGACTTTAATAGAAATAATGCATGCAAATTATGCGCAAAAGCCCCACATACCATAACTACTGTAGCATTTTGTTTACTGTCCACAAATCAAGAACTAGATTAATGTAAGAATAATTAATTAACGAGCAAGCGATGAAAAATCAGCTTCATTCAAAGTGAAACAGGTTTTCATTCCCCACTGACAGATGTTTGTTCTTGTTTTAATGTGATACATTTCTCAGAAAACGAGACTTCTTATCTTCATTCTGCATCTCCAGTAAATGTGTCTGGATTTAAGGATGTTTAGATATTTGAACTGGAAAACAAGACAAAAATAAAGTTTTTTTTTTTTTTACTATTTTGCAGTTCATGCAACATTTAATGCCACAACTGTATGAATTTAAGACTTTCTGCTCTGATTTGAACCCTTTATCAGGCCTTAATATGTTGAAGGGTGAACTAAGGCTTGTAATATTTCTCATGATTTCACAAGCAAACGAAGCTGTTGTGAGCTGTTATGTGTGGATGTGTGTATTAACTGTATAAATGAATTAATAACCAATACAGAATATTGTTTGACCATTTATAGAAGTTGTTAAATCTTAGTAAACTTGTTCACTTGACCTTTCCATCAAACACAAGACATACAAGAGCCCAGAAAACAGAAGTTAGAGAAGAAAAAATAATCTGATACTTTATTTTGTTGCGAAAGGAAATAGAAGCAGCACTTAAAAACCAAAGCAAAACTACCAGCATGAGAAAAGAGAAGACAAATCATATATAAATATACTCTGAATGCATACACTCTTATAATTTAGGCATATACAGCATCATTGAGATATTTCCATAGTGGAATGTTTGTTAGTCGTGATGTTGAGAGCGCTACACACACTCACAC